GTGGAGGTTGCGGTGAGCCAAGATCACACCGTTGCCACTCCAGCCTGGGCAACAAGAGAAAAACTCCATGTCAAAAAAAAAAGAAACTAACTAGAATCTGATCCGAAATGGAGCTTTTTAAAAAGAATCCAGAGCCGTGAGTAGAGAAAAAACAATGATTCAAGCAATCATAGGAAAACCAATTTTTATTATAGAATAACATAAATTAAATACATATCTAATTTTATAGATGCTTATGGTGAGTCAGAGTCATCTAAAAATATAGATAAAAGTTGTATACTGTTATTCTGGCTTTCTCTTTCAGGAGTCTGACAAATCGTGTTGAATTTGAACACATAGTAAAATAATTCCTGCACTGACTTTGCATGAAATGTATTATGGTTTTGTTGTGTTTTTTCTTGAGACAAGGTCTCACTCTGTCACCCAGTATGGAGTGCAGTGGTATGATCTTGCTCACTGCACCCTCTGCCTCCCAGGCTCAAACAATCCTCCCACCTCTGCCTCCCGAGTAGCTAGGACTACAGGTGTACACCACCATGCCTGGCTAATTTTTGTATTTTTTGTAGAGACGGGGTTTCGCCATGTTGCCCAGGCTGGTCTTGAACTCCTGGGCTCAAGCGATCCTCCCTCCTCAGCCTCCCAAAGTGCTGGGATTACAGGCATGAGCCACCGCGCCCGGCTGTATTTATATTTGACATCATCTCTCCATGTGCAAGATGTGGAGGAAGGCGTCTTATGGCAGCTAACCCTGAAGCCTCTGTGAGTTAAAATATCGTTTGGTTCTTTCCCGGCAGCTCCCCTTGCCACAGTCCTGAGCAATCGTTTCGGACACCGTCTGGTGGTGATGTTGGGGGGGCTACTTGTCAGCACCGGGATGGTGGCCGCCTCCTTCTCACAAGAGGTTTCTCATATGTACGTCGCCATCGGTATCATCTCTGGTAAGTGTTCCTCTTTGGCTCAGAAATTCTCTAGACACTTAGTTTGAAGAACAAGGAAAGGGAAGGAGGAAATTAAAGCCAAACTATATTTCTTTCTCTTTCTTTTTTTTCTTTAACATTAACGGTGTCTCAGATCAGTAGTTTTGAACTGAGCTATATGGACTTCAGGGGACCTGGGAACCTGTTCTCAAGTGCCCAAGAGTTTTTGTTTGAGATAACTTCTCTTTTGCTATATTTGCAGCCAAAAGATAGCATTTTTACAAAGTAGGACGAATTTCTGTAGCCAGTATTTCTCAAATCAGTGTCTGAGGATCCAGGGCTGTAGGGGAAGTGCAACACGCCAGACTTAATCTTGGGGGCCTAAGAAAACCTTTTTCCATTTAAAAGGAGTAGCCAGCATAGTGGCTTATGCCTCAATTCCAGCGCTTCGGGAGGCTGAGGCAGGAGGATCGCTTGAGCCCAGGAGACCAACTGGGGCAACATAGGGAGACCCCATCTCTACAAAAAATAAAAAACTAGCCAATCATGGTGGTGTGTGCCTGTAGTCCCAGCTACTTTGGAGGCTGAGGTGGGAGGATCACTTGAGCCTGGGAGGTCAAGGCTCCAGTGAGCTGTGATCACACCACTGCACTTCAGCCGAGGCAACAGAGTGAGACCCTGTCTGTTTAAAAAAAAAAAAAAGAAATGAACAATAAAAGGAGGCCGTATATTCCTCATAGACGATAGATACACACACACACACACACACACACACACACACACACACACACACAGCTGTTAAGATTTGCAGACTTTACATTTTTCCTGTATTTCTGCACATACGAAACGACTTATTTCTTTCTAGATACAAATCTTATATAAAATTTCATGCAATAATAGTTTCATCCATTGTGAATTATATAAATTTGAAAAAAAGTGTTGCAAAGTAAAAAAAAAAAAATTATACTTTTAGTATCCCAAAACAACCACTGAAGTTTATCCAGACCTTTCATGAAACCCATTTTTCTTTGCAACATCACCTTTGTCCAGAATGAATTACTTGGCTCCCAGAACTTAAGATTCAAAAAGCAAAACCAAAAATCCCAGCTCTTTGAATGCATCCTTCCAGTCTCAAGCAGTATGTGGGTTTCATTGGCTTTTCTGACTTTTCTTTCACAGGTCTGGGATACTGCTTTAGTTTTCTCCCAACTGTAACCATCCTATCACAATATTTTGGCAAAAGACGTTCCATAGTCACTGCAGTTGCTTCCACAGGAGAATGTTTCGCTGTGTTTGCTTTCGCACCAGGTAGGTGGACTACAACAGTCTAAGTGTAAATGTGGATGAGGGACGCCACTCAGGTATTCTTGCTACACTAACTTTTGCCAACAGTACGGATGACATTAAGTGTATGAGTAATGAGAGGTTATTTATGTCTCTTCTCCAGCTCATTTTTAGGATCTGTCCTCCCTAACCCCCACTTCAGGTATTCAGACCACTTTAATAATAGGTTTGAATTCCTAACTGGGCACATATGCAGTGGTAGGGCTTTCTTGACACATGCATTCCAGAATAATCTAGTAATTTGCAGTTGTTCACCGGTTATGTCCTCTCCTTTTTCAAGAGAGCTACATTTAATGTGGATTTAGATTATGCTAATAAAGACAGCATTCTTATCTGTGTGCAGATCATCTCAAAACAAAATCTTTGGCCAGGCACAGTGGCTCATGCCTGTAATCCCAGCACTTTGGGAGGCCAAGGTGGGCAGATCACCTGAGGTCAGAAGTTCGAGACCAGCCTGACCAACATGGTGAAACCCTGTCTCTACTTAAAACACAAAAAACAGCTGTGCATGGTAGCACACGCTTGTAATCCCAGCTACTTGGTAGGCTGAGGCAGGAGAATTGCTTGAAACCAGGAGGCTGAGGTTGCAATGGGCCAAGATCACACCACTGCCCTCCAGCCTGGGCGACAGAGCAAGACTCCGTCTCAAAAAAAAGATTGAGTACACATTCATAATGCTGAGTATAATAAATTTCCACAAAATTTATAATGGAATCTGGATCCATATTTCTTCTTGATGGCTTCTCCTGGGTCTTGAGTCCATTATTGACCTTATATTTTATTTCTTCTTCACTCACTCCTGCCTCTTCAAGCAATCATGGCTCTGAAGGAGCACATTGGTTGGAGATACAGCCTCCTCTTCGTGGGCCTACTACAGTTAAACATTGTCATCTTCGGAGCACTGCTCAGACCCATCATCATCAGAGGACCAGGGTCACCGAAAACAGTCATCCAGGAAAATCGGAAAGAAGCGCAGTATATGCTTGAAAATGAGAAAACACGAACCTCAATAGACTCCATTGACTCAGGAGTAGAACTAACTACCTCACCTAAAAATGTGCCTAGTCACACTAACCCGGAACTGGAGCCGAAGGCTGACATGCAGCAGGTCCTGGTGAAGACCGGCCCCGGGCCGAGTGAAAAGAAAGCCCCGCTGTTAGACTTCACCATTTTGAAAGAGAAAAGTTTTATTTGTTATGCATTATTTGGTCTCTTCGCAACACTGGGATTCTTTGCACCTTCCTTGTACATCATTCCTCTGGGCATCAGTCTGGGCATTGACCAGGACCGCGCTGCTTTTTTATTATCTACGATGGCCATTGCAGAAGTTTTCGGGAGGATCGGAGCTGGTTTTGTCCTCAACAGAGAGCCCATCCGTAAGATTTACATTGAGCTCATCTGCGTCATCTTATTGACTGTGTCTCTGTTTGCCTTTACTTTTGCTACTGAATTCTGGGGTCTAATGTCATGTAGCATATTTTTTGGGTTCATGGTTGGAACAATAGGAGGAACCCACATTCCACTGCTTGCTGAGGACGATGTCGTGGGCATTGAGAAGATGCCTTCTGCAGCTGGGGTCTACATCTTCATTCAGAGCATAGCAGGACTGGCTGGACCGCCCCTTGCAGGTAATTTAAATACACAAAATACAAATGCTTGTCTACTCCCCCGTATGAATTGTGCTAGCTTCCTGTGTAAGCCATAAAGAAACTTACTGCCGTTTTATATTTCCATGGAATTTTAGAGCTGCCAGGGATTAGAGATTACCTGAGCCAGTCCTCTTGATTTAAATATGAGGAAACTGAAGGCCAAAGAATTGAAGCCAAAGGTCCGATGGTAAATTAGTGGTCGAATCAGGACAGGAAGCTGTGTCTGTAGTCCAGATTGACCCAGGCTTTTTTTTTTTTTTTTTTTTTTTGAGATGGAGTCTCACTCTGTCGCCCAGGCTGGAGTGCAGTGGTATGATCTTGCTCACTGCACCCTC